ACTGTGACTAAAGAAATTTGCAAACCAATAAAGATATCCACATTTAAAAATTTTTTTCTGTAAGTCTGCCTTCTTTCCAAGCTTTTGGTTTGAAAAAAACCCCTAATATAACTCACTCTAAATTATCGATGATGAAGAAAACAGAGTAAAAACTGAGTATTTTAAAGGGCTCATTAGACTTAAATTCCTATTTGTCTCACACCAGCCTTTATGTGTAAAACAAAACTGTACAGCCTAACCATAACTGTCAGGAAAGCACATGCAAGCCGGCAATCCCAGTGCTCTAGGAGGCTGAAGCAAGAGGATCATAAGTTCAATTCCTGCCTGGGCAACTTACTGAGAACCTATCTCAAAATTTTAAAAAAGGCATGGGGTTGGGGGGTAGCTCAATGCAAAAGCCCTGGGTTCAAATTCCAGTACTGGGGGGGTGGGGTGGAAAATGGGAAGGATGGAATGAAGGAAGGAAGGAAGGATGGGAGGGAAGGAAAGCCCTGCAAAATCACTAGTAAGGTCAAAGAGAATCCAGAAGCCCTCTAGAGATCCTAATCTGTCCTCTCCCCATCTGTGTCCCTGCCCTCAACAACCACTCCCCTGATGTACACACCCTTGGTTTTTTCAGTTGCCACTCCCTATGAACATCACCTATTTTAAACTCCCTATGAATGAGGCAAAACTGTATCCTTCTGGTGCAATTTCTTCTGCTTAACATTTCAGAATTCCATTGGTGTCATTTTGTGTAGCAGCAGTTCTTTTTCACTGCTAGGGTATTATGAACACTCTGGTGTATGTACAGTGCGCATAAGCATCTCTGGAGCATGCGCCCAGGATTTGAAGTGCTGGATTGTCCCAGGAAGATGGTCCCAATCTTACAAAGCATATACTTGCAGTTAGTCTACATCCTCTCCAACAGCTGGTGCTGTTTTTTTTTTTTTTCAATTTAAGTAAAATTTATTGAGTGTCTATAATGTGCATGGACTTTTATTAGACACACGGAAATTCAGGCACAAAACAGAGATCCCTGGCTTTAGGTACCTTATAATCTAGTTAGTATGATACAGATTAAAAACAAGAGACAGACAAGTTACATGATAATGCTGTTATCAGCATCAACGTTAAAGAGCTGTGATTTAGGTGACCCAAAATGTTATCTGGTACTAAAATCATTTATAAAATGTATTGGGCCTTAGAACCCACAGCACTACAAACAAGGTTAAGTTTCACTGCAGATAAACAGTCACAAAGATGAAAACACACTGAAATACTTGAGAGCACTATGAATGATTTTTGTTATTTTGGATCTTTTGTTTTCTTATTATGGTCTGAAGCCTCCGTAATACCAATTTGTCAGACAGATGCATGTCATCTTGTTGTTCTAGATAACTCAGTAAATTTTCAGTCCATTCAAGTGGAGCTTTATGGCTAATATGCTTCTCAGGGTTCAGTTCTGCTTTTCTAGTCTTACTGGAAGGCTTCTGCTCAGCAGCTGTGGCATGGTCCTCAGCACCTTCACTGTCGGTCAGCACCTGACAGCCTGAGTCGTTACTCTGAGAGTCAAACCACTGATCAATATTCTCAATGTCAACGTGTTCACAGTCTTCTGTGTTCTGTAAAGCTGTTGCTAAGTTAGCGGCTAAAATGGCTCCTTCACCAGTGTTTATAACTGAATTTTCTCCCATTGGCAGGGAAACATTTTCTCCATGCTTTGGTTATGGTACTTGCTTTTATCATGTTCCAAGCCCTGGATACCTCATAAATTGCATCCAACACTAAGTTCTTCCAAAACATATTTGGCTCAATTCCTTCATCTATATACTTCTGAAGTCCTGCTCAGTAGTATCTTTTTACTGTGGCTAAAACTCCCTGACACATGGGTTGAATTAGACTTGTGACATTTGCTGGAAAATACTTCACAATTATTCTACCATCATCTGAACTCAAGTTCATTTGCATGTGGTGCTGTTACTTATAATGCTTATCAATGGCAGAGGGAGTTATCGATGGGTTGGAGTGGCCTGGGGCATGGTTTTTATTTTTCTGTCTGATAACCGAAGACCTTCTCATGTTTTTTTTGGTACCAGGGATGGAACTCGGGACCTTGCACTTGCAAGGCAGGTGGCAGAACCACAAAGGTAAATCCCCGGCCCCTACTTACTTTTTCTTTGGTGAAGTGTCTGAAACTTTCCAAAATGGCCTTGATATGATTCATATACAGTGGACCCTTGACTTATGAACTCCATTGGTTCCCAAGGGGTGGTTGTAACTAAGTCAAGATAGCTGAGATCTGGATGTTTACCTGGGTAAATTCTATAGATACCAAGAGGCAAATGAATCTTCCATGAACCCAAATTGTTCGTATGTCAGGCTGGTCATAACTTGAGGGTCCACTATACCACTATACCATGATTACTCATCTACCATGTAGAATTCAACAAGCTTTGGTATATTCACAGATCAGCACAACTAACACTAATTTTAGGACTTTCATCTCATAAACACTACTCTTTGGCTACCACTATCCCAGCCCTAAAAACCACTGCTTACTATTTCTATAGCTGCATTATAAAATGTTATACAAATGGAATCAAGTCACGTGTAGACTCATGACTGATTTTTTACTAGCACAATGTCTCCAAGTTTTACTTTTTTTTTGAGACAGGGTTTGGCTAAGTTGCTAAATTGCCCAAGCTGGGGTCAAATTTACAATTCTCCTACCTCAGCCACTCAGTGCTGGGATTAAAGCTTGCAATCCCTAGCATTACCATGTATCACTACTTCATTCTCCTTATGCCAAATAATATGCATTACATGGATATACATTTTTCTCCCACTGGTGGACTCCAGAGTTGTTTCCACCTTTGGCTACTTGTTATAAACATTTGTGTATGTTTTTGTGTGGATATAATTATTTCTCTTACAAATACACAAGGAAGAACTGCTGAGCCTTACAGTAACTGAGAACATGCCAGACTGTCTTCCAAAGCTGCATGTTTTTAGGGGTTTGAGACAGGTTTTTTTAGGGTTTTTTTTTTTTTTGCGGTACTGAAGATTGAAGTCAGGACCTTGTGTTTGCCAGGCAGGTATGGTGCCACTGAGCTACATCCCCAGCCCTGAGACAGGTTCTTGCTATGTAGTTCAGGCTGGTCTCGAACTCACGGTGATCCTCCTGGCTCAGCTTCTCAAGTGTTGAGATTATAGGCATGTGCCACCACACTCAAACTTTCAATTTCTCCAGATCCTTGCCAATATTTATCTGACTTTTTAACTATCCTAATTACAGTTAGTTTGATGTATTATCAATATTATTTTCATATATATCTTACATTTCCTTGACCTGCATCTTTTTATGTGCTTACTGGCCATTTGTATATCTTCTTGGAAAAACAAACATTTTGCCCAGTTTTTAATTGGTTGTCTTTGTTGTTAAGCTGTATGGACTCTTAAATGACCCTTTTCTTAGTGATTTTATAGTTCTTTATTCTGGGTATAAGTCCTTCAATATTTTATGTGATACTAGTATGTTCTCCCACGGTGGATATTGTCTTTTTACACTGTGGTCCCTTTTTTTTCCCGGGGTGCCATTTATTTATTTATTTGTTTGTTTATTTATTTGTACTGGGGATCGAACTCTGGACCTTGCACTTGTGAGGCAGGCACCGGAATCACTGAGCTAAATCCCTGGCCCTATGGTGCCTTTTAATGAAAGAAGTTTTTTATTTCAATATAGCTAAGTGTATTAAACTTTATAGATGAGGGGCGGGGATTTAGGTCAGTGGTTTTGCTGCCTGCTGGCCAAGTGCAAGGACCCGAATTCGAATTCGATCCCTGGTACCAAAAAAAAACCAAAATAAACTTTATAAATGATTTTTGGGAGGAGTGCTGGAGATTTAACCTGTGATAGTTAACTGATTGTGTCAACTGGAGTAAGAAATGCCCAATTCAATTGACTCAGCAGTTCTGGGTGTGGAAGACCCACCTTAGGGAGGATTGTCGCCAAAATGGTATAAAAGGGAAAGGAAGAATGAAAGCTCACTTCTGTTTCTTTGGAGGAGCTCCAGTCTTTGCCTTCACCTTGGACGTCATCTTCAGCCTTCCAGTGCAGACCCTTCACCTTTGACTGGATCCTTTCGATCTCTAGGATGCATGCAGGCAGACCTTTTGTATTCTTCCAAACCTGACTCTGTGGGCGGCCACTGTAAGCCAATCTTATAAATTCATATATATTAGTATAACTTGCATTAAGTCTCTCTCTCTAGTAAGCACTGACTGATACACAATCCATGCTAGGCAAGCACTATACCACCGAACTTCATCCCCATCCCTTTTTATTTTTTGAGACAGGGCCTCTTTAAATTGCCTAGCTGGCCTCAAACTTACGAAACTCCTGCCTCAGCCTTCCAAGTAGGTGTGATGCAAGCATGCGCCACCACACCCAGCTTAGGATGTTGTTGTCTCAAGGAATTCTTCCTGAAGCCAAAGACATACAAATATTTTTTCTATATTATCTCTATAGAACTATAAACACTAAAAGCTTGATAGCTTTGTCTTATATATTTGATTTAAACTTCACTGGGGTTAATTTTTATGTATGAGATGGAGCAGGGGTCCAATTTCAGCAGTTCCCATATGGATGACCCACTATCCCATTGCACAACACTGTCTTTTCTCTCCATATTATTCTGCAAATCCAGCCACTAACTTTTCAACTTTTTCTCTTTCCTATAAAATAAGGTTGGTAGACTACATCAGTGTTCCCAATCTAAAAGTCTTTTGTTAAAATCAAGATTTCTAAGTCTTACCACAGATTAGGGGTGGGAGATGGCAGGTGAGGTAGAAGAACACAGTAGGACTCTGGGTTAATAAAATTCCTTGGCTAATAAATACATAGCCAACTTGGCTCCTGTCAACAAATGAAAGATCTTTTATTTTGACAAGATCTCTGGGTACTTATTTATTGGAATAAATGTGGATAGAAGTTATATTGCAAAGAAATACAACACATCTCAAATTCCACAAACTATATGAGCTTTATTTATAAAACTGAGCGTACTGCCTATTGCCCATGTCCATTTAAATGGTCATCAGTTACACTCTCCATTTTCGAAGACCTTTGAAAATGTACTCAGATAAAGTATTACTAAATATTTCAGTTGATACCCCATGGACATTGGTAGTCAACACTATGGAAAAAGGGTTAATATAAAACAATACAAAAGCATAACAGATAGCTTATCAATATTATCTTCAATCCACTGGAGTTTTCTCACGTAGTAACCTTTATTCGTGAAATGATTTCATTCACAAAACTGTTATTCTTTGCCATCACCTCAGCTTTCAGCTGTTTTAACTTTTCTGTGATGTTTTCTTCTGACATTTCAGTAAAGGGCACTTGCTTCACCTTGGATAGAAACTCCTGAATGATTTTTTCACCTTGCTGAAAAACATGTCAACATCCCAACAGTCACTAAAAGTCACATCAGATAGCAATGAATTGAATTAAATTTCAATCTGAACATGCTATTCAGTATTTAGAGAAAATCTGTGTAAGTGTGCAGAGTCTAGAACACACAGCAAAGCCCTCAGTTGTTATGAATTTCTTCACAGAAAATCATTAAAAAGACATGTATAAATTTATTTCTGGTTGCTCATGACAATGGAATTGAAATTTTACAGGTTCTCAAGTTCCTCTGCTTTTATAATTGATATATAAACAATCTTGAGTAAAAAACTCAAGGTTTTCAAAAAATATTGTAAGACACAAACAACACCTGAAATTCTGTCTGTGTCTCACACACACACCACACAACACCACCACACAAGATGGTTCTGTTTTTATTTTGCTACCCAGTTACTGTTGTCCCAAAGAACATGGTTATTATTTGCTATGTGACTCTCAGGCAAATTCCTTAACTCTAATTCCTCATGTACAAAGTGGGGATATTAGTATAACTAACCTCACCAATTTGTTGTGAGAATTAAAGAGTTAATGTGTAAATTGTTTGGAATAGTTCCTAGCAAAGAGTAAGAGCCATGTCAATGTCTATTACTGCATGTGAAGCAGAATTAAATAGACTGCTTTTCACACAAGGGAACTAACTGGTAATAAATATCTTAAAGATAAAAGGTAGATATCCAGTTGATAAAATGAAGAATACTTCTTTATTAAAAAGCAATATTGGGCTGGGGATTTAGCTCAGTGGTTCCGGCGCCTGCCTTGCAAGCACAGGTCCCGAGTTCAATCCCCGGTACCAAAAAAAAAAAAGGCAATATTTATTTCCCCCAAATAAATATTAAAATCTAGGCTAATCATCAATAGTTATGTATTTGTCTCCTTCAGCTTCAAAACTTTTCAAAATATATTCTAATTAATATTAAAAAAAAAAATCAAAAGTACATAGCCTCTGTTCTAATTGGAAACCAGGGATTACACAAAAGACCCTGCCTCATCCCAGATCATCAGGAGCTATGGGTCTAATACATTAAAGTGCTGACACAAAAATCATCTTGAATTCAGGATGGCAAGTTAGGATGAATTTCTCCTGCTTGTCAGCTAGAACACATAAACCTGTACCTTACCTATGAAAACCACACATCATCTGTCCTTCAAGTAAGAAAACAAAATTCACTGGGTAAAACTTAAAAATATGACAAGTAAAAAGTTGTCAGAACATACCACAGTAAATGCTGCTATGACCAGGCAGTGCATTAAGATTCTCTTATTTTTATTACTAAAGAGCAAACCTTTAAATTTTTAAAAAACCCAAGTTACTCAGATGTTATACCTTTTTGCGTGAATATCTAAATTTGACCTATTACTCACAGAAGGCTCAATGTAAGATTCACTTCTCCCATGAGAAGAAATATCCTGTCCACAACTTTCTTTAATAAACATTTGCCGCGCAGCGTGTTACACTCTAAGACATATTCATTATTCTTATCTCAACTACATTCTAAACAAGTGGAGAGCAGGAATTATGAACTATGTCTTTTCATTTTTTATCATCTTACCTAAGTACATATATAATTTAACTGGATATATATAGCTCCTTTGAATGATTGGTTGTTATTTATTTATTTTGGTTTTCTTGGTTTTCTGAGACTAGGTCTTGCTATGTAGTCCAGACTGTCCTCAAACTCTCATCATTCCTCTTGCCTCAGCCTCCCAAGTGCTGGGATTACAGGCATGTGCCACCATGCCTGGCTTCAGGGATGAATTTTGTTTTTTAACTTTCATTTGCATTTATTTTATGTCTAATTTATTTCTGTACCCTAAGTTTTTATTTCTTCAGTTTCTTCTGGGATATCTTTTTCTTCTGTGCAACTTCTGCCTCTGGTTTAGGGACCATTTGTTCCTTTTCAGTAAGGATCATCTCACTGTGGCAGGGGGGAGCTCATGTAAGGGTTAATCCGACCATGAACTCTCTAAGTACAGCAGTGCATCTTGGGTGCTTTGTTCACCTGCATATGTTCAATAAGGATCTACATCTAAACCTTTAAGTTCAGCATCACTGCATTTTTAAGCAGGTGCGGCAAATATCAGCACTCTTTCTGGGCTACTGACCGTGTCCAGCCCCACTGTTTGGCCTGGGCATGACTACCAACTCCACCATTGTAACACCGGAATGGCACACATCGCTTCTTGAATGTGACATCCCTCAGATACTTGGTGGCCTTTTGGATATGCATACCCTTGATGACCTGGGCAGTTTCACAGGTGTTCTTAAAGTGAACATGAAGATTCGAGCCTCTTGATTTGCATGATTTTCTGGGGTTTTCTGGGTCAAGAGCAGCAAACCATTTTCATAGGTTACCTCTGGTCGCTTACAGGAAGAGCACAAATGAATTCTTTTTTTTAAAACTTTATCGAGTCTGTCCAGACTTTTTTTTAGTACCGGGGATCAAACACAGGACCTTGTGCTTGAGAGGCAGGCATGGCACCACTGAGCTAAATCCCTGGCAATGAATTCTTTTCTTTTGTTTTGGTACTGGGGATCAACAATGAATTCTTGATCATCCAAATATAAGTGAAACCAAAGAGAATGATCAAAAAGTAAACATGACAGCCCTCCCAAGGCTGAGGCAGGATTGCCAAGAGTTGGAGGTCATCCTAGGGGACATACTGAGTTCAAGGGCAGCCTGAACTATAAAGTGAGACCCTGTCTCAACCAAAAAACCAAAACCAAAACCAAAACCAAAAAAACCCCAAAACAAATCAAAATGTACACACTAGAACAGTGGTGGCGAACCTACAGCATGTGTGTTATTATGCTTTTCTTTTAAGACAAAAGACATTGATTTAGAGTTGTTTTTCTAAACTAAAACCTCAGTATTCAGGCTTAATTGCAGTGTTGCCACTTTGCCATAAACAAGTGGGTTTTGGGTTGCAGTTGGGCACTCGGTCTCTAAATGGTTCGCATCATGCACTAGAATCATATAGGGGAAAGAAAACCTCCTCATCTTGGTGACCCGGTTTATATAATAACACAAAGATATTAAATAATCACAAAAACAAACAGACAAACCTCTCTTTCCAGACAGTACTTCTTTGCTACTGGTTCCATGTCATCACGAGGTTGTGAGGCACCAATACTCTGGAACTCCTCAAGTTCCAGGGCTTTCTGTCTGGCAGACTCTATCACATGCCGAGGGAAATTAGCAAGCTCTGCAACATGAATCCCAAAACTCTGATCACAGACACCTACAAGAAATTTGGGAAATGTGCAAGGGGATAAGGTAAAGAGAAACAGCAATTTGTATAGATGGATTTATGCTTTCTTGTAATTATGAAACTTAACTTTCAATTATTTCAAATACATTAGTTAAATGTTTCAGAGTAACTTAGATAAAAGAATTTTAATTAAGCTGCCAATGAAAAGTGATTTGATTTGGTACACAGTGCTGTACTTTATCCTTGAAAAAAATTAAGAGCAGAAGCAAAGCCTAGTATCTTAAAGCACTATCTCTCTGCAGTTTTTCTTATTTCATGAGGGAGTACTAAGGAGGGAGGAAAAAAAGGGAAAACATACAAAAAAACCCCACTAATTAAAAGTAGCATTTAATTCAAGATATACTGACTTGTAACTAGTAAGTGGTATGGCCTCTGGATCTACCCACACCATTATCCAGAGATGGTCACTCAAGAAAATCGGCTGGATGGACTCACTAAAGAATTAACAAGATTTTTCTTGGAAAAGTTGTTTACCATTCTTATGTAATCTCACTCCGATTCTGAACTAAGGCAAACAACTGAAAATTAAAAAAATTTTTTTAGGGGGGGTATCAGGGATCGAACTTGGGACCTTGTGCTTACAAGGCAGGTGCTGGAACCACTGAGCAAAATCCTCGGCCCTGAAAATAAAATTTAAAAATAAAATAAAATAAAAGTTTTGACTCAAATAAGTAGTAAACTTATATACTAGGTAGCTTATCTTCATTCTCATTTGGAAAAAAACTGAGTTAAGACAGTCTTTCCAGGGGCCAGGAATGCAGCTCAGTGGCACTGCACCTGCCTGGCAAGTGCAAGGTCCTGAGTTCAATTCCTGGTACAGGGGAGAGAGAAGATAGTCTTTCCAGGTATTTAATAAAAGTGATGGTTGCAAAGTTATTGAGCTTCGGATGCATCAGATGTAAAATAATAACAACAACAATAATTATAATTATTGGGGCCGGGGATTTAGCTCAGTAGTTTTGCCGCCTGCTGCTCAAGTGCAAGGACCTGAGTTTGATCCCCGGTACCAAAAAAAAAAAAAAAAAAAATTATTATTATTTCATGGTGATGGGGAACACCGGGCTTCGCACATACTAGGCAAGTGTTCTACCATTGGAGCTGTATCCTCCGCCCTGTAAAAAAAAAATTTGACGTAATTATTTATCCCATGCACTCTAGAGCTGGCCATTTTGTACATTAAGAGAAGTAAACAAAAATAAGTAGAAGCAAATATCTTATATACATCCACAGTGAGGAACAAACATATCTCTATCCTCTCCATACTACATCTGGTCTTTTAAAGATATTCTGAAGCCACTTCTATCATATACAAAAACACATGATTTAAATCCACTACAAGAACGTGTATTCCATAACAGCAATAATATCAAATATTGTAACTAAAAAGGATTCCCACTGAAGCATAAATAACAAAGAACAAAGAACCAAGGACTATGTGCAACTGAGCTGTTTCTATAACATAACCTTAAAAATAAAATCAATTACAATACATTGTATTAAATAATAACACCTAGGGCTCTGGAACTTCAAAGCATATTAATTATTACCTAGTAGCTAATCTGACAACAAACATACTGCCATGGAGATATGTGAATTGGTGATTGTTTCTGTTACTGCTTCAGAATGAATGGTCCTATCACAAGACATAGAAATATAGGTAAGGTACAGTGTTCCTGGGCTCAGACTGGAAAGTCAAGGGCACATGTGTTCTATACAATGATTTAAGGCAATCAGTGATGATTTCAAGTGCGGTAAGTTTCCCACTGTCACATTCTGTTTTGTTTTGGTTTTTGGTACCGGGGATTGAACTCGGGACCTTGTGCTTGTGAGGCAGGCGGTGGAACCACTGAGCTAAATCCCCGGCCCCTACCACTGTCACATTCTGAAATTACTGCCCATGAGTGGTACAGACTCACCTTTCTTCACCTGATACAGCATAGTTAAGGTCTCATCAGTGGTCAGTGCTGTGACATGTAGATTATTAACAGTTGGTATCTGATTGGCCAGTGCAGTAAGTTCATGAAAATGGGTTGCAAACATGCAAAAAGCACCAATCCTTGTTGCAATGTAATCTGATATAGCCCATGCTAAACCAAATCCATCATAGGTAGAGGTTCCTCTTCCCAGTTCATCTATGATTATTAAAGAATCTTTGGTTGCAGACCTGAAACATGTAATTACATGACAATTGTCCATGACATAAATGTGGTAAGGGAAATAATAAAATTAAGACATATGTTGGGAAAGACACACAACAAACATAACAGATTAATTACCTTTATTTATAAGAAAATTCAACAAAGTCAGTAAAACTTCCACAAGGAAATGGGGATGGACATGAAAAACAACTGAAGGATGAGGAAACAAATGCTGAGTAAGTATTTTTTTAAGTTACCAATCAAACTAGTAGGAACCAAATAAAGCAACCATCATTCATTCCACACCAATCAAATTAGTCAAATAAAGTAAATCAGACACAGGAGCTCAAATACCACCTGGTTTCTCTTATATGAGAAACCCAAAGCATACACAGTTTAAAGAGCAAAATAAAAGAGATAATAGGAAACAGGGAGATAAATCATTTGCAGATGCAAAGGGGACCAACTGATGGGGGGAGAGTTGGGTGGAGGAAGGGGAAAGAAGGAAAAATAATTAAGATATATGAACTCCATGTACCAACTCTCTAAGATGAATGTAATCATTATGTACTGCAAACATGTACTAATAAAATTTTAAAAATAAATTTCTAAAAAAAGGACCAGGGGCCGGGGATTCTGCCGCCTACCTGCAAGCACAAGAACCCGAGTTCAATCCAATCTATTACTGAGTGTGAACAGTGGAAGCAAAATTATAAAGTGAGATTTATAAGGTGGGCTATTACCAGGAGCCTTAAGGACACAACTTTAAAAATCACAGTATTGGGCCAGGAATTAGCTCAGTGGTTCTGCCGCTTGCCTCACAAGCACAAGGACCAGAGTTCGATCCCTGGTACCAAAAAAAAAAAAAAAAAAATCACAGTATTTGGACTGGGGATTTAACTCAGTGGTAAAGTGCTTACCTATACCACCAGGCCCTGGGTCCAATCCCCAGGACCCCATTCCCACCCTGTGAAAACGTGTATAGCTATCACCTATATCCACCCCCATCACCCACTCTGATGTACTGGGAACTGAACCCAGGGTCTCATGCATGCCAGGCAAGTGCTCTACCACTGAAGTATATCCTTGGTCCCTCACACTCTTCTAAAAAATTTAAGATGGGGTCTTGTTAAGTTGCTCAAGCTGGCCTTGAACTTGCAATCTTCCTTCCTCAGTCTCCCAAGTATCTGGGATTACAGGCATGCTTCAATATCCCCAGTACCTCCCTGCTTTTTGAGATAGGGTTTCTCTATGTTGATCAGGCTCATCTTGAGCTCCTGGGCTTAAGAGATTCTCCTGCTTTAACCTCCAAAATAGTTCGGACTACAGGTCTACTGACCCTTTAAAATATTTAAAGTTCACAGGGAAACAATTATTAAACTGAGCTAAACAGAACAGATGTTTCATGGATGAATTTTCAAACGTACTTTTCACGAGATGGGACACTTCCATTTTCAAGGGACTGGAACATGTACTTACCTGAGGATGGAAGCAGTTTCCAGCATCTCAGCCATGAATGTGGAGACTCCTTTCAACTGACTGTCACCAGCCCCCACCCGAGCCAAGATGCAATCCACAATGGACACTTCCGCTGACTCGCACGGCACAAAACAGCCAATTTGGGCCATAAGTACTATCACCCCAGTTTGGCGAATATATGTTGATTTACCTCCCATATTGGGGCCTATAAAGCAAATATATCAAAAAGCAAGGTCATTTTATTTCTGCTACGTAATAAGTGGACTGCTAGTGCTAAATTGTACATTGATGATTAATTACCTAAGTCACACCAATATGGCTAAAGAGAAGTAGAACCACAGGCTACCAAAAGACATGAATAAAGTCACTGCCCATATTTGCCCTGCTAAAGTAGAGAAACCTGTACATGGGCCTTTCATCAGCCTAAGCCAGAAAAAAATATTTTACTCAAAATTTTGGTCTCCACCTTGTGAGTACCTGGAGGTTAACTTAATGACTTCCAGAAAAGTAGTGCAGGCCTACCTGATTCCTTAGTCAACATTCTTACTCGTTAGTAATCCCAATTACTAATGAATGGACTGATATGGTCAAATTCTTCAAATTATCTAATAGTCCACACTAAAGTCCTAAGACTTGACACTTACCTTGGCAAATGTGTAATTTATTTTTTAGGGTCAAATCAAATAAACAACATAAAAACTAATTTGGGGAAACAGAATACAATCATAACTATTTCCCAAATACATCTGTCCTAAGACTCCTACTTCCCTTTTCTCCTAGAATGACATTAAGAATCCTCAAAACACCTTAGCTATCACATACTATGTCTACATGCAAAATTGTTTTGAGTTTCACATGAATACAGTGCCATGTCTGAAAAGAAATGCTACCCTAAGCTGAAATTCTTCTGAAGCCAGATCCTGCCTGTCCTTCAGTGACCTCAATATTGAAAGGACTGGCTCACAGGTAATCTATGTGAATGAGGTGAGGTACATTTTTACACATGCTTAGTACAGATGTTTCACATGAATACAATATTCTCATAAGCTTTATAACCCCCTCCCAAATCTTCCCTCTATTTCAAATGTGAATATATTACAAAATAGAATAACATGTTCTTTTTCTAGTATCCAGGACCGAAATTTTTTTTATCTGCTTGAAACATATTTCTAATCTAACATAATGAAGTTATATGTTACTCCTCCAAAAGCTCATAAACTAGTTTTTTTACCAGTAATGATGTGAAACATCTGTTTGTCTTTTTCAAAGTGCACATCATTAGGAATAAATGCAATTTCATCTTGAACTTCGACACAAGCATGCCTGGATGCTTTCAATATGATTCTTCCTTGACCTTTCTCCAAAATGACTGGTCGTACATATGGAACAGGTGCTCCGTTTGACACATGAGCAAAGCTGACAACAGCATCTAGCTGAGCTAACACATCATTCAGTGACTGCATTGGTTCTACGTAGCCTGTATAAAAATAAAAACAGAAAGTGTACACAGGAATATCAAATAATAAAAAACACATATAAGCTTTAAGAATAAACTTAGCTTCCTCACTGGGAAGTTGCTAGAATGAAACTTGAAAAAAATATCTAAAATTTAGGGCTGGGGATTTAGCTCAGTGGTTTTGCCGCCTGCCTCTCAAGCGCAAGGTCCCAAGTTAGATCCCCGGTACCAAAGGGGGGGGAAAAATCTAATCTAAAATTTAACATGGGGGTAAAATGTTTTACTATATTCTTCCCCAATGTAAACACTTTTCAAAAACTAGACTGTGATGTCTTCTCTTACAAAATTGAATAAGACAGCACACCATCAATTTCTGACACACTTTTCCTCAATTTTAAGAATCTGAAAACTGGATAGCACTTCATCATCATCACAAGAAATGTGCAAGCACTTAGTAGCAAGCTGTAATGAGACTGTCAAGGCTTCTGCATGTACAAACTGTAAGATTGTTAGCTGAGCTTTATTTTTTTTTAATCAGTACCAAATGTTGAGAAATTTCAGCATAAAATTAGATCTCTAATTGGCATTTAAAACATTTTATTCTGGTACAGCATTAAAACTAAAAGCTATTACACACATTACAAAGTCCCTGGACACGGGCTAGACAAACCATGTGAAGACAGTAACAATGGCCAAAATTTTTAGAATAGATTCTAAATGTTATTTTAGGAGCTGGTGTAACAGAACATGAACATCAATCATGTCAAATGCTTCACCGGACGTTCAAAGGAGAAGTGCTTTATTTTAGGAAAGTACCATGATGAGTTTAATCAGATGGAAGGAAATTTGATTCATTTTTGCCTCCTCTGTTCCTCATAAAAATGATAAAATGTTTTGACAATAAAAATTACCTTTTGAATGGCCAAGTACAAGGTTCTCTTCTTGTTTCACTGTATTTTTAAAATGTATTCCTTTTTTACCTAACAGATTTTTTTAAAAAGGAAAAGACTAGGGCTGGAGATTTAGCCCAGTGGTTCCGCCGCCTGCCTCACAAGTGCAAGGTCCTGAGTTTGACTGCCAGTACCAAAAAATTAAAAATAAAAATGAAAAGACTTCACACTAACTGTATCATGTATCAACCAGGAACTTCTAGTACTTAATTAAACATTAATCGAGTGCTTATTATAATTATTTTTATTTTGTAGTGCTGGGGATCAAACCCAAGACTGCGTATGCTATACAGTGTTCTACTACTGAGCTACATTACATCCCCCGCCCTTCTAAGTACTGTAGTTGGAAACTAACAATTTCAACTTATCAAGGACAGGATTCTAACTCTTCTAAAAAAGCACCTTAATTGAGAGTCTGGACAGCCGTTAGCATTTCACATCATGTGGTACATTAACAGCAACATCAAGAAGTACATAATGTCATTTGTCCCCTGACTAGCAACACTAACCTTAATCACCTGGTCATTTCTGAAAAGGAAAATAAAGGTTAAAGTGAATATACACAGGGTGGGAGCCTTATTTTTTAGCTCACCATACTGCCACTGTCCTGTGCTAAAGATACATTTCTCCCATTCTAAAAGCAATACCATAATGCAGTCATGCTGTTCCTTTAAATTACAATGATTTCAAATGGTAGACCCAAAATGGACTCTGAGAACCTACAAAACAGCATCCAGAACCCAAAATAGCTCAGCCTTGGGAATAATTTATGTTTGCTTTTTACCGATGCTTATTTCTATAACCTACAGCAAGAACCCACAGACAATGACTTAAAAAAAAAAAAATTCACACCGCAAAACAAAACACTCTTTATATATATATATCCTGATGCTTTTTCTATTAGTAAAAAGCAGGTCATACTCAGAACATTTAATATATAGGTTCTATTAAGTTTACCTGAAGATATATTGACAATTTCTTTAACAATGGCATCCTGGGCTTCTTCATACTCGCCTTTATTTTTAGTATATTCTTCATTCAAAGAGGACAACTTACTGCAAATCAAGATAATGGTGTTATTAAAAATATCAAAATATCTACTAAAAGTAATGTGCATTACACAAAACATATCCAAAGTATTTGTCCAATCAACCATCAAAATGATGGTAATTAAAAATGGAAATACAAAGTAAGGTAGAAATGTGACTAGAAGGGCCGGGGATTTAGCTCAGTGGTTTCGTTGCCTGCTGCACAAGCGCAAGGACCCGAGTTCGATCCCTGGTACCAAAAAAAAAAAAAAAAAGAAAGAAAAAGAAATGTGACTAGAATTCAGTTCATTAATGTCCTTTTGTGCTTTTTGGAATAGCACACTGGTACTATTATTGGTATGACAATGATTCCCTTTGATTACAATTCTGATCTGCGACCTTTTATAAAATATTTAAATAGAACCCTTATTTATGATGGAGGGCATCCTTCTTAAAAAAACATATACTTAGTTTTTCTCATTTCTGTAGCAAAACTGTCTTTTCATACTGAAAGCTCAAAGAGGGAAATGTTTTTTGAAAATTAAATCTTAAATAATCCAAAAAAAATTACAGCTTAAAATAAAAATAACTAAGATGAGAATAAAACAAGAGGGAAAACATTCACTAACATCAAAAGCAATGAAATCAAGATGAACAAAAAGAAGGGACAGAGAGGTAAGGGGCAAGAGGGGAAAGTAAGTATCCAAAGTGGGAGGGAGGCAGTTACCCAACACAATGCCTATGAGCTTGGTCCACAGCACAGCAGACATGCATAGTTCAAGAACAGTGCAGGGGCAAGAAATAGCACAAAAAAGACAACTGTGAAACAGGCAAGTGGGAAGAATTAAAGGAAGAAAAGCAAGAGGCAAATACATTAGAAAGTGGGACCAGGATATGAAGGGATGAGCTACAAGACAGAAAAGCAAGGTAGATGGAGTCCAAATTATAAAGGCTATAATAAACAGTTGCAATTTTATTCATGTCAGGCACTGGAGGCTTTTAAGAAAAATGGCTGTGTGTGTGTGACTATTATATGATCACAGAGTTAAATACAACATTCAATATGTTCACAAAATCAAGGAATGAAAGAAGTTTACAACTTTTGTGCCATGTGGATGGGTCAGTCCAATCTCATTTATGTATGTTAGAACTGATTTGAATGTTAGAACTTATTTACCAAAAATTTTGTCTTATATAAGCTACATATGTACATTTCTTGAACTAGGAGTGATATGCTGGAAAAACAACAGAACTAGATTTGGCAACAGAAGATACAGGTTTTTAGTATCACTGATACTAGCTATTTAACCCCTAGGAATTGAAATCTCAATTTCAAAAAGTTATAAGGAACAAACTTAAATAAACTGTTTTCATCATTAGCGCGTCTAAGCACCCAGAACAATGTCTGCACCCAACAGACAGTCACAGTGCTTGTTAAATAAAAGGATGAACCGGGAGTCTTGGCTTATAAATGCCCTGCACCAGGAATAGTAAGGAGGGGTGAGACAGAGTAGGCCAGACCATAGGTTCTAAACAGCAAAGGAGAAAAGACAAATGCCACCCCTCAGTAAATCACTGATTTTTAAAAATAATTTTTTCTTTAATCTATAAATAACTTGCACCAGGAACTTCCCATGATCACCAAAGGAAAAGGCAGAATAAAACTGGTTAACCTTTTTTTCAACATGGTACATGACAAAAAAGCTGTGGCTGACTTAAGGCTGGTAGTTATCTCCCTAAACTAATTTACAGATAACAGAAGAATTTTTTAAAATTTAATAAACAGCAACAAATTTTTCTTAGAAAAAATAAACAGATCAAAATAAGTAAGGCAGAGTCATGGGGAGGAACTAGCTCTAATGAATATGGAAATGTAATATAAAATAAGAAATGCAATCTATTTTGTATTTATAAAAGAATAGTGAGATAGGGCCGGGGATTTAGCTCAGCAAGCGAAGGACCTGAGTTTGATCCCCAGTACCAAAAAAAAAAAGAATAGTGAGATAGCTAAGGGGAAAAAGAGCAGTCTTAAATAGACCCAAAGTTCCACTTCAGTCAATGAGGTAGAGATGGATTATTTAACAAATGGGTTAGGACATCTGAGCAGTCTTGGGGGGAAAAAGTTGGATATTACCCAATGCCTTATATGAATGAATGATATATAAGATAAAATCCCCTTTCTCATAGAACATCTACATTTCACCAGAGAGGCCATGGAACTACTACAGGTTTTAAAATACAATATAGATGTGCAAACCTGTTGGTAAATTTAACACCATTCTTCTGGATATCCACAGTACTAAAGTTTTTATTGTTACGAAGGACTTTTTCTTCCTTACAGGTTACACGAAAGTAATAGCCAAACTGTCCACTGGAATCCAATTTAATCTGCTTGCCAGGATCCAATCCTTCATGATCAGGAAGAAAATAAGGATGTCATAAATGTCTACAGTCATTTTTCAATGTAAGTGTTCAAAATCAGTGAATCTAAAGAGTGAAATGCATACTTTTATTCCACAACAGCATACTGGAAATTAATGGGCTCTATCTAGGGAAAAGATTCAAATCCCACTTAGGGCCTGGGATGTCGCTCAGCAGTATAGCACTTGCCTACCATGCAAGAGCCCTTGGGTTCAATCCCTAGTACCACAAAACAGCCAACCAACCATGAACTACGTGAAGTACACTACCTGTGAAGTCCTAACACTCTCTTTTGGCATGAGCTTTGGATAGAGGCTGCAGAGCCCCAGCGCAGGGCAGTGCAGTCCCACAGCAGTGGGCACATGAAGATGGTATAAGGTATGGGCACCCACCTGTGTAGTCACACAGGAGGATTCTTAACAAAAGCCTTTTAGAACTAATTAGGGTATGATTAAAGTGACCACATGCAATTTCCAAACAGAAACTTGAGATGCTGACAATGAAAACTGTTACATATAAAAACTTCACAAGTTGGGCTGGGGATTTAGCTCAGTGGTTCCGCCGCCTGCCTTGCAAGTGCAAGGACCCGAGTTCGATCCCCGGTACCATAAAAAAAAAACTTCACAAGCAAAAATCTTGACAGCTAAGATTTTTCAACTTTAATAATTATGTCCTTTCCTCATAATTTCATTCACCATGTTCTTTAGACCACAAAGTAGAAGAGAAAAATAATATCTACAAATTTATTTGCTGAAGAACAGCAACTGAATCATAGTAGTGGCAAACAATTCAAGACAGACTTCACTTAACAAACCACACAGCACAGGAATTACACTTCCAGGCTGTATGCACAGAAACCGACAGACCAACCTAAGCCAAGGGGATTTGCTGGAAGGTTATTGGGAGCTCTTGGTATTGTAGACAGCTAAGTTAGTTAGAGATATTACAGCTGCTTCTACGGGGCTGGGCCTGCAGCATGAAGGACAATTGTGACCCAAGACACATTCACTGAAGGCCAGAATTGTAAAAGGAGAGAAACTACACACCCTTGTGCTTCCCCTGGGGATAAATAGCAGTGATTGATATTCTAAATAGGTATCAATGACCTGGGTGGGGGGTCAAGGTCTTAACCCAGCCTCTCCAGGAAATATCCCTGACCTACTCTTACTGAAAATCCTTGTACGTTTACTCTGTGACTTGCTTCCCAATTGGACCACCATTACCTAAGTGACTATGCTTGTAACCTTAATGGATGTTCATGGCTGTGGCCCATGTTGTATCCACATAGGTTTCACCCTATAAAACTTGTCTGTAAAGTGGGGTCTTTGGCTACCCACTCAGGATACCACCTGCCCTTTAGGAGCTTTCCTATCAAAAATATCTTCCTTTTAACCACAACAAAGACAGACTTCACTTGACCGGGGAGGAAAAGCACAGTACAGACCCATGCAGAAACAAAATCAGACTGATTCCAATAAAGGACTCTCAAAATGTTGCAAGGAGAGCAGTAGTTTACTGTGAAAGACTGCAATCGGGCTATGTCTCAAACCAAAGGACCACTCCTGAGGGTGCAAGAGGCTGCTGCCCAGCGTGCATTTCAGTGTCTTGTTAACAGCAGCACTTCTAAGCATAAGACACAACAGGACTGTGTTTACAAAAATAGCTACACTTGTGTATTTTTAACTCCTTGACAACCACTTTATTTAAACGGGCTTATGTCCTCAAAGTACAGAGATTATTACCTGTTAATTTTATTCCCCCTCTGAACGCTAAAGACCAGAGAAATTAAATATCTTGTAAAAAGCTTTACAAAGAAGTTTCCAAACCAAAACTTGCTTTCCAATTCCTGGTGTAATGCTTCTTATACTATATTCAGTGTCTTCTGGTGCTGGGGATTAAGCCCAGGGCCTCAACATGCTAGGCAAGCACTCTACTGCTGAACTCCAACCCCAACCCCAGTGTTTCCTTTTCATGTTGAATGCTGTTCATGTTGCTTTCAAAAGAATTTTTAATAAAACAAACTCATGTAATTCTAAAATGGAATTAAATTTAAGTTTAAAAACATATACTTATTCAGCAAGACAGACCAATAAGCAATTAATATAACAAAAGAAAAATTTTCAACCAAATTAATATACTATGAATCTGTAGGTACTTTTAACTTCTTAGTAAGTAAAATTCAATACCTTCAACTCCACTTACTTAAACTCTTGAAGTCCTAATATCCTTAGCTATGAAATGAGGAAGATGGACTTCAACAGCTTTAAGGCAAAGGGGAAAACATTTTTTTTGTGGGTACCCGAGACTGCACTGAACTATATTCCCAGCCCATTTTTCACTACTTTAATTTTGAGACAGGGTCTAGCTAAATCACCCCGGCATGGTTTGAACTTGAAATTCTCCTGTCTCAGCCTTACAGAGTGCTGGGATTACATGTGTGCACGATCACTCCCAGCTTGGGTGTGACATTAAATAAACAAACAAACAAACAAAACAAAACAAAAACACAAGGTCTTATTTATAGATAGCATGCATAATGAGCCTCTTGAGCAATTTCCATTTAGCAGGGAATGCACTGTGGACTCTGTGGACTCCTGTAGACAAAAGAATTATTCAAACCTCGAATGACCCATTCCTACCGAGGTCATGAGCTGCACTTATCAATGTGGACTGCATCTTCTTTTCCAAGTCATCCATTACTTCTCTCAATTCACTCAGATTAGGATCAAAGGAAGGTTTTACAAGGAATTCATGATTTTCCACCTATAAATACAGAGAAGAGTAACTAAATTATATAAATAATGGGTAAAGATAGAAATTGTGAAGCAAACATTTTCGTTTTCTTCTACCTCCTACCCTCTTTTGGGGGGAGGATAGTCCTAGGGAGTGAACCCAGGACCTGTGGTTTGAGCTATACAGCCTCAGCTTTCTTTAAAAATCTTTTTCCTGGGCCGGGGATTTGGCTCAGTGGTTTCGTCGCCTGCTGGGCAAGCACAAGGACCTGAGTTCGATCCCCGGTACCAAAAACAAAACAAAAAAATATCTTTTTCCTTTAAATTTTGAGAGAGGGTATCACCTAAATCACCCAAACTGAGCTCAAACTTGCAATCTTCTTGCCTTAGCTTCCAGAGTGCTGGGATTACAGGCAGGCACCACCATGCTTGGCATATCTATAGAATTTAAATTTGGCATATCTATATTTTAACTTGGCTACTGTTTTGAGTTCAATGATTTATTACCTATAAATTAGTCATAACTATTAAAGAACTTCTCCTTATTTATTTATTTATTTTTGGTACCGGGGCTCAAACTCGGGACCTTGCACTTGCAAGGCAGGGGCTGGAACCACTAAGCTAAATCCCTGTCCCCAAGAACTTCTATTTATTAAGAGGTGTAAAGTTCTATTTATTAGGTCCTAGAGTTCTAGATGTACAAAGATTCATATTAAGTAGATAGTGTTCATGATGCATATGCCAACAGTATTCTTTATTCCTATTTCCCCTAAATATAACTAAATAATGTCTGATGTTCAAAACCTGTAATAGAATGTGAGGCTTTACTACAACCAAATATCCATCTTAAGGATATCAAAAAATGGGGCCGGGATTTAGCTCAGTGGTTCCACTGCCTGCCTTGCAAGCGCAGGGTCACGAGTTTCATCCCCGGTACAAAAAAAAAATATATCAAAATATTAGCCAAGTGTGGTGCCGCATGCCTATAATCCCAGCACTCAGGGGGCTCAGGCAGGAGGATCACTGTCAATTCGGGGAGCCCTGGGGATGGAACCCAAGCCCTTCGAATGTAAGCAAGCACTCTACCACTGAGCTACATCACCAGCCCTAGAATGTTTTTCTTTAAACTAAAGGTTCATCAAGCTCCCATGATTTAAAAACACACTCTTAAGAGGGCAACACACCCCTGTAATCCCAGCACTCTGGGAGGCTGAGGCAGGACAATTCAATACTACCCAGGGCTACTTGGAAACCCTATCACAAAAAAGCAAAAAATCACCATTACCTTTTGTGTACTTTTTTTTATTAAATTCTTACCAGAATTACCATAATGAAAAACAGATCTCATTTACAACAGCAAAAACATACAAAAAATATGTAAAAACAAAATCATTATACAGGCTCTTTATAAAGACAATCTATTGGAAAATTTAAAAGAACTGCACAGTGAAGAGTTAAAATAAGAAGAGAAAACTAAATCAAATGTTAATAGTTCTTCGTGCCCAGTAATTGCTCAACAGGAATCCTTTTTTGAAACAATGATTAAAATTTAAACAAAATTATAAAAGATCATTAAGAAGAATGAAGTCTATCTTTGCTAGGCATTAAAAACTATTAAACAGACAATTACATATAAAAGCTTATTATGAGAGTGAGTCAGTTTTCTAAAACAAGATGACAAAAATATATTCAGTAGAAGAGGTTGAGATAAATTGCTCCTAATTAGTATCCACTTAATCAGAGTACATATTCACATACCTAAAGTGAACTGCACAAAGAACAAGGAATTAAAATCAAATCACAGATAGCTAGCAAAAAAGAGAATAAAATATTTAAACCAACAAAATAAAAGTAGACACAACTTTGGGAGGCTGAGGCAGGAGGATCACCGTGAGTTCGAGGTCAGCCTGAGCTACATAGTGAGTTCAAGACCAGCCTGAACTACACAGCAAGACCCTCTCTTAAAAAACCAAAAGTAGACTCAACTATTTAATAAGCCCCTTAAACTCAGGTGAGGAAATAAGTAGTAAGGTAACCCACAGAGAAGTACTCTAATGATAAAGGACATGAATATTGAAGCACCTTGAAATATTATTCTATAGCTATCTCCTTGCAGGCAGTGAGTCTACTTTAGCTTTAATTAAATTAAATTTCATTCATTTATTTATTTTTCTGGTACCAGGGATTGAGCTCAGGGCCTAAATCCCTTGCCCTTCAGCCTTTTTTTTTTTTTTAAAAAAAGAAAAAGCCACCACCAAATGCTAGTAAGGCTTCAGTGAAATACGTATATTCATTCACATTTAGTGAGAATCTAAGTTGGTGTAACTTTTAAAATTGGAAAAAAGCAATATACAATGAGTCGCAGATATGAGTTATACTATTTGACAGCGATTCTACTCCTAGAAATTCAATCCAAGGAAATAATACAATAGAAGCAAAATGACACAGGGCTGGATAAAACCTCTGCAGATTTATCTGTTATAGCAAACACTGAAGGAAGAATAAAACACAATATTTGACAATGGTTTATCAGTAGAATAGAATGTGGTTAATTAGATAATAAAGATTACCTAGAATCAAGGACCAAGGCTTATAATTGCAGGTGAAAAACGATGCTAAAATGGTGAATTGAAACTACAGTGGTGTCTTGGTTCACAAACTTGATTCTTTCCCTATAAGGTCAACATTGAACTTAACCACTGAATTTGATTCAGTTCTCATCCAACTTGGTTTGCAAACAGAATCATGGAAAGAATCAAGTTCCTGAACCGAGGCACCACCTGTATGCTACAGGACTCAAGCCCGGGCCAAGTTTCTACTCTCACCCTCATCTTCCACAAAATCAACAGTGAGTCATCAAAACCCTGAGAATTGTCACTAATAATCCAAATCTGGAGAGAAGAGAATTGAGTGGGCATCTTTACATTTATTTTTTTTCTCCGGTAGAAAATATTATTTTGAAAGGGCTGCTAGGGAGATCCAAGTAAAAGAAGGGAAAAGTGAACAACGAGGCTCTAACTTACTAAATAAATACTCATTTAAGGGCGATGCAACAAATTGGGGTTCCTTCAGCAACAAATCACCCCCTCCAAACAATCTTGGATAATAATACTGTCCAACTAGGTATTCTAGCTTACTACAGCAGTACTCTACAAACCTACCCTCTGATCTTTACTAGCTGCCTTTCCAATAGTACTACCTGCCTGAGAACTAGAAAGGCCCTGTCAGTGTATCAGGCTACACAAAAAGAGACAGGACAAAAGAAACAGGCTTGAAGCTCAAAGAATGGGATGGTGAAACCAGAAAACAAGACGAAAAGAATGAGGATAGTAAGTTAGGCCTTAAGCAGCATCATTAAAGAATTAATAAATACAACATAGCAAAGAAAAAATTCTTTTGAAATCAAATTGCCTGTTCTGATCAGAGAATAAAGATTTGATATAATCACAGAGAAGGTACATCAAAGATGTAAGGATTAAAGTAATTAGAAAAGAGAAAATAAATATAGAAGCCAGTAGGTATCTCTTTTTTATAGTTGCTATTTTCCTTTTGGTTTTGTGAGTCAGGGTCTCATTAAGTGGCTCTCGCTCACCTCGAACTCATGATGCTCCTGCCTCAGCCTCACAAAGGCTGGGCTTATAGGCCTGAGTCACCATGTGCTACTAGATATCTTTAATAATCACAAAGCTCTACGATCCTAGAAATAGTAGATAAATATTATAAGCCGTTTTCTAAATAAATGTACAAGTGAGTTGAGAAAACTACAGCTCCGAGCCCTTATACAAAGCAGAGTATGATACTGCAGAAAGCTAGAAGGACAATTTTTTTAATCCACTTTTCAATAAATGGCAGTTTAAGGGAAACCTGCCTTCATCAGCCTGTGGGACTGTATGATTCAAAATTCAATTACTCCCCTAGCCTCTGTTGTGTTTAAAATTAATGGTTAAAATGTGCTTGTTAGTTCTGGGATAGTAGATAAAATCTGTAGCAAAACAAAGTTCCTAAGTAACTTATTCAACCCCTTGTTTGGCCGGAGAACGAATGTTCCTGGACCCACTGTCGATAGAACAATCCATCAATATGTCTGCTGACCATCAGTACGTGAAGGTCGTGACCATATGGTCGTGACCATTACTGTGTGGGTCTGCTGACCATCAGTACGTGACAGTCGACCACTAAACTTTGTTCTTTTTTTTTTGTACATCTACATGTTAAACTCCCCCTCAATCCCCTATAAAACAGCCTCGGACTCTGAGCCAGTTGCCTCTCTTAGCTACTTTGCCTTGCGAGTGCCGTCTGGCCAGATTAATAAAGGTCTGTTTTATTTTCCAACTTGTCCGGTGTGTTCCTTCCCGCGTGTTCGTCGCTGCAGTCAGCTCCTCGGAGCGTTTGGTAAGGCCCTCGGTCTTACAGCCTGGGGCTTTGGGGAAGGACGGATGGGGCAGGATCTTCTCGCTGCCAATTTGTGAGTAAAAATCTACCAACATCAGGGATGGGTTTCAAATATCTACCATCTGTGCTGCAGTTAAAAAGGATGCTAGTTGCTAGCTTTTTCTATTATGCCCTCCTTCCACAATGTGTAGAACTGAACATTTTTAGTAGGGCACATAAACAACAACAAAGACTACATTTCCCAGCTATCCTTGCAGCTAGGTTTAAGCTTCTGAGTAAACTCTGACCAACAGAATGTGAGCAGAAATGATGTGTACCACTTCCAGAGCGTGTGGTCTTCTCCTTTAGCCCTCCTATTGGCTGGAATGAAGTTCAAGTGAAGATCACCCTGTACTCTGAAGTGGAGGGCAAAGGAACAAGGGAGGAGCCTAGTCCCAGACAGAGGAGCTGCCTGCCTACCTGCCAGCATGGTGCTGGGGACTTTTAGGATAAAAACTAAACCTCTAATCTTGCTTACACTGCTATTATCTATCCAGGATTTTCCTTCTAGGAGCTGGATCTTCACAAGAATAAATCTGGAAAGCTCCAGGATGAGAAGCAAACAATCTTCCTAGCCAGGTATGGTGGCACATGCCCATA